GATCCCTACCACTTACATTTGTCCTCTCTCAAATAACTGGAATTTTAAAACAAAAACTACAAGAAGGAAAAACAGGAGAGAAAATTGCAAATATCCATGCCCCTGTCTGACCTCTAGTTCCCCCATTTGTCCTTATTCTCTGGAAAAATATTAAAATTGTCCCCATAATCTCAGCTTGCTCAGGACAGAGTCCAACTGCAGTCTGCCTTGTCACTTGTTCAGGAAATGTCTGCTGAGCACCTCCTAGGGCCTCCCGGGGCTCTGCGTCAGGACTGTGTGTGACACACGGATGGCTAAGGTACCCTCATAGCCCTCAAGGAGCTTGAGCATAGTAGAAGAGATGAGGCATGGGCAAAAGCAAGTGCTCATGAGGAAAAACAGCATCTGAGTTCTGGGAGAGGCCCAGACGATGCTGGGGATGCTGGACCAAAAGACAGCTAGCTAGGACCAAAAGACAGACCAGCCTAGCTCCTGCCAGGCACAGGTCATGCCAACCACCCAGACCAACACAGGGCCTGAAAACAGCTTCCCCTGGAGAAAGGCCCCAATCAGTGGGTACATGTATCATCTCATTTCATCCCTAGAACAACTCCATAAGATAGATACTATACTATCATCAACCCCTCTTTCACAGATGCAAAAACTGAGATTTAGAAGGACTCTTTTATTCACTCGCTCAACACTTTTTGTATCTGCCAAGGGCCTAATGGGCTTCCCTCGTGGCTCAGACAGTAAGGAATCTACCAGCAACGTGGGAGACCTGGGTTCAATCCCTGGATTGGGAAGAACCCCTGGAGAAGGGCACGGCAACCCACTCTAGTATTCTTGCCAGGAGAATCCCCATGGACAGAGGAGCCTGGCAGGCTACAATTTGTGGGCTTGGAAAGAGTCAGACACGAATGAGCGACTAAGCACACAGCATGCAAGGACCTGATACCGCTCTAGCAGTAACCATAAGACAGTCAAACTTCCTGATTATTATGGTGTATGCATTCTGATAGGAGATAAGTAACTTGTTAAAGATCACTCAGCTTGTTAAAGTAGTGGAGCCAGGATCAAATTCAGTTATTCTGGCTGCAGAACCTATACTTTCAAACTTCCAGCAAACAAGCTGTCTGGGCCCAGCCACAGACACTGAAAATCAGCATTAATAGTAAAATACTACATTTCCTCTATTTCAAGATGCTTAGTTGTAAGACACATCTGAAACCAGGCTGCATTTTATAATATATGTTGAAAGAAACTTGCAGGCTGCAAGTAGAGAAGTAAGCCATAATATAACTGATACTGCTGTTCAAGTGTGAATTTTGCTGAATACAGGTTATTTGATTGCCGATGCAATTGAATTTTCTGCAGATGCTGACATTAAATGCAGCTGGATTTTAACTTAAATGACGATCCCTGATACTACTTTGAATACACTCAAAAAATTTCGCTATAACACAATATTGCAAGAAAAAGCCATTGTGCATTCAAGCAATTATGCCTATCACACAATGTGATTAAAAGCAGTAGAAATCACCAAATCTCCTGGAACAGATTAAAGAATCTTCAAAGCCTAAAGGACTAGCATTCAAATGACAAACACCTAATTGTCAAAGCTTCCAGCTATTAAACTTCCAGAAATAAGTGATCAATTAAGGGGGAAAAAAATTATGGGTTTTGGCAAAGAGAAAATATAGGCAAAACCCACTATTCATTAATAAGCCTCAAAATTACATGCCCAACCTTAAACATACCATGAGTAATATATTTTCTGAAAAGCATCATATAACTCTGAAGTTACACATAATTTCTGAGACCTAAATATGATACACAATATCAATAATGTGAAAAATACATACACTCCAAACTGATTCTACAGAAAGGGCAACTCATATGTAAGCATATGAATAAATGAAAGCCACTTCAGGCAAGTTTTAAGTGTATATATCTATTGCCATGTTTCTGTTTCTGAAAAGATGCAGTTAACACCACGGTTTATTTTACCATTACCAATAGCAAAATCGATACCACTGCCATTTATCAATAGTACCTCCAAATAGAGAACTATGATAATTACAATGATAGCTGCCATTTATTGAGCACCTACCAAAACTGGATTTTCATTTTTTAATCCATTATCTCTAATCCTCAAGACAATTCTATAAGGGAGGCACTCTTAGTATTTTTTACATGTAAGTAAATTATGGTTCAAAGAAACTAGTGACTTCTCAAGGTCATACAACCAGTAAGCATCAAGCTGAGCATGGAACCAGTTCTGCCCACGTCCAAAACCCAAGTGGTTTCCAGGGCACTATAATGCCTCCCCCTACCAACAACCATCTCCACGTCTGTCCTGGCACAACAAGCATAGATAAGCCCTCACCTGAAGAAAACTTACTATGACCTCAGAGCAGGATGGGCCACTGTGAATTTAAGATAGGAGGGTCTCCCTCTCAATTCAACACCCCTAAATTGATTCAAATCTTGTTGCTTATATGTCTGCTTCCATTTTCTCAAACTACACTTAACATATGTTTGAGCAGGCCCTAAACTGGCCAACAGACCAACATTCATACAACAGTTAACTGGCTCATTCCTTCAAATTGTGCCAAGTTGGTAGCACAATCTGGAGCAGACAGTACAGAGGCTTGGCAAGAAGTGAGGAAGGCCTCTCCATTTCTGAGGCTGGGGCAGAAAGAAGCCTGCAGAGGTGCTGTTCACATCAGCCAGCGGAAGCACAGATGTCCCTAAGCCTACAGGAGAGCCCAGCTTGTGGCAAGCACCTTCTGGGGATCTCTCTGAAGTCCAGGACTGTCCACAGTTCCAACCAACAACTGTTTTTCTTCTTGACCAAACTTTTGCAGGACGACAGGCAGGGCCTTGTGAATTTCACCCCATTCTCTGGACAGGTATCTTTGGATGCAGTCTCATGTCCAACATAAAATCCTCCCCAAGGGCTTTGCTTTGAATATTCCTTCAGGAAAGGGCCTAACTTGGACACTAAGGGTGAACTAGGGCAATTCAGAGAACATTTACTGAGCATCTCTGAGGACTGAGATGAGTAAGCAGTGTGTGTGTGTGTGTGTGTTCAGTCGCTTCAGTAGTGCCCAACTCTTCGCAATGCTATGGACTGTGTGTGTGTGCATGTGTGTGTGTGTGTGCTCAGTCGCTTCAGTAGTGTCCAACTCTTCGTGACGCTATGGACTGTAGCAAATCAGGCTCCTCTGTCCATGGGATTTTCCTGGCAAGAATACTGGAGTGGGTTGTCATTCCCTCCTCCAGGAGATCTTCCAGAACCAGGGATCAGATCCGTGTCTCCTGCACTGCAGGCAGATTCTTTACCACTGAGCCACTGAAATCCCAAATAAGGTGTGGTCCCTACCATCTGGGAACTCATAGTGAGTGGAGGAGGTAAGACTGGCTGAGAACTAATTACAGTAAAAAGGAGAACAAGGTAAGCGTTTTCCTGGAACACAGAGGAGAAAATAATGAATTCCAGATGCCCAGTCAACAGTCAATTCAGCTAACATTGACTAGGTACCCACAAGGTAATAGGTACTATAATAGGTTACATACCTTATTTCTTTCAATCCCCACAACCACCCCGTGGAACATGCTCTATTACTTCCCACATTTTACAAATGAGGAAAGAGGTGGAGGAGCAAAGTCTCTTGCCCAACATCACATCACTGATTTGTAAATACAAGAGATAAGACTTGGATCCCAGTGGCCAACACTGAAGTTTGTGTTATTTCCAGTATAGTAGACTACATCTCCTGGAGTAAAGAAATTCTTCCTGGTAGAAAAAGAATTTAAACTGTTTGGGAATTCAACTAGATGAAGAGCAAAGTAGAGAATATTCCCAGCATAATGGTTTCCCAGGTGGCAGAGTGGTTAAGGATCCACCTGTGTAGAAGACACAGGAGATGCAGGTTCGATCCCTGGGTTGGGAAGTTCCCCTGGCAGAGGAAATGGCAACCCACTCCAGTATTCTTGCCTGAAAAATTCCACGGACAAAGAAGCCAGGCAGGCTATAGCCCATGGGGTCGAGAAGAGTGGGCATGACTAAGGGGCAATCACTGTTGAATCGACAGGGTCAGAGATAAGGAAGGCTGGGAGGCAGGACAGATCAGCAGTCACAGGTCAGCTAAGCAGGGGCAGAAGTCCCGCTTCCAGCACAAATGAAGAGGTGTGCGGTCAGTGAGTTAGAGGACTGGGTGTCAGGAGACCTTGGTTCTACTCCTGGCGTGGCTACCGAAAAACTGTGATTTCCAGGAGTTCCTAACCCCTCTGTGGGGCTCAGTTTCCTCATCAGTAAAAATTCCAGTTCCCTATTGAAATTGTGAAGTCGCTCAGTTGTGTCCAACTCTTAGTGACCCCACGGACTGTAGCCTACGAGGCTCCTCCGTCCATGGGATTTTCCAGGCAAGACTATTGGAATGGGCTACCATTTCTTTGTCCAGGGGATCTTTCCAACCCAGGGATCGAACCCAGGTCTCCCGCATTGCAGACACGTGCTTAGATGTTCCCTAAAGGTTGGCTCTGGTTTAAATACTGGATATTCACAAGAGGCCATGTGGGACAGTGGTTAAGATCAAGTGACATGCAAACCAACTGAGTGACATTGAACAAGATAGTTCATGCCTCTGAGTCTGTTTCCTTATCTGTAATGTGAGGACAATAGTGATGCCTGCCTCACAGGGCTGAGGTGATGGCTGAACGAACTGAAGAACAACAAGCACTTAGCATAGGGCTTGGCAAACTGTAAAGGTTTAAGAAATGGAAGCACCTTTGTCGCCATCATCATCATCACCATTATGCCTTCTTTAAAGTGTCCATAAAGCGTATATAGTGATCATGGGCCAGAAAGTCTTTTCTTAAGGGGCAAAAAATATATAAACCTTTCTTTTTTTTTTTTAATTTGGGAAAGAGAAAAGGTCTCATTGAATCACAAGTCTCCTTCCCACAACCACCTCATGAGAGAGGCTTCTGTTTCAAAGAGCGCCATGCCATACCTTCTCTTCTGAAGAAACGGTCAGCTTGTCACTGGATATCAAGCTGCACACCTGGTCCAGACTTAGGCTGAGAAATTCTTCCCCCAGCATCACCTCTGGAAAGTGCTGCTCTGTTCCAAAGGAAAAAAAAAAAAAGGCGTTAAGTTCAGAAAACCAAGTTATAACACGCTCCTGCCCATCCATGAACCAAGGCCATGACAATCTATGGGATTCAGAGCAGAATCCAGGGACCTCTGGGGGAGGTGGGAGGGAGAGAGAAAGGTAGACATCCTGGCTGGAGGGAAACCAGCCTTTTAATTCAGCAGCAAAGGCATCCCCCTGTGTAACCCTCTGTCCTGAACATCATCACAGAGGAAAATTGGGCACAGAGTTGTGAGGTTATATTTTTTCCCTGCTCCATGAGATTAATAATGGCGCTGCAGAGAAGCCTTGCAGGGGCCTGCCTATTTAATTGGGCTCACTTCCCTTCAAGGCACAGGCTGGCAGAGCTGCAGACGGTGCCCCCCGCCACTCAGCCAAACAAAAGTGGGTCAGAACTGCTGCATGGCCAAAGTCTCTGGGGGTTCTGGTAGGAAGTCAACATTAGAAGCTTGGCCGAAGGGTTCATCCCTTCCTGCCCAAGTCAAGCCTGTTATCTCTGGTTCACAAGAAGGCTCAACTAAGCTTCTGTCTGGGTATGGCGGCAACACAGCTGCCAAGACCACCACTGGGAATGGTCCACAGCAGCCGGGCCTTCCAAGGCTGTAATAATATAGAGGGGAGTTTGGGACAAAAAGAACAAGATAAATCTCACAGCCCCAAGGGCCACATAAGAGAAATGCCAAGGACAATTCTGACCCTGACATTCTCCCAGGTCACCATCCTGCTATTACAGACACAGTGAGATGCCAGGAAAAAAGCAGGCACTTCCAAAAGAAGGAATCTAGATTCAAGTCCCAGCTGTGTCATTTACGAGCTGTGTCCTGTGGCACCATTATCCTCATGTGTACAATGGAGATAAAAACCAATTCCCCCTCCATCCCATGCTCTGATGAGAAAGGAATTGAGAACATGTTTTGCAAGCTGCTTCAAGGTGAACCAGGCCAAGGGCTGACAACTCCAGGTGCAAGAGGCTCTGGAGGCCACAGGGTCCTTTGTCATTTGCCCCAGACTTTGCTCCTTCCTCAGTTCTCACAACCCTGCACCATCACCCCAGAAGCACCTGTGCTCTTTGCCCTCCAGACCTTTCCCCTTCTTCTGTGGTGTCCCTCCTCTAGCCTGAGAGCTTCTTGCATAATTCCAGAAGCCCCCCCAAACCCCCACCAACTTGGTCTGGCTGGCCCCTGGAGTGAGATTCCGGGTGCCTCCATGCCTAGGAGGCCATGCTGAAACATCAACTCTGCCACAGCTGCACAAGGAAAATGAAAATCGGAGCATGCTAATCACACTCATCAACTTCTTAAAAACCAAACAAAGAACTTAAAGTTTAAATCATTTCTTGTGAAAATAATTTTGAACTTTATATGTTGAAAGAATTTCAGATCCAAACAATTCCCATATACCTTTCATCCAGAGTCCCTAAATGTCAATATTCTACTCTCAAAGTCTGAGTTATAAATAATCTTTTCCATCTCTCACTGGGCAAAAAAGGCTCCCCACTTGCTCTCCACTAGCTTAATAATATAACTGAAGCCACAGTTAAAAGCTTGCCCATCCTGAAGCTCAGGGCTGTTTGTACAAAACAACACAAAGTTAAAAGTCAGATCCGTTACAGATGGAAGCAGTTGTCACAACATAAGAAGTTGGTCTTGCTTCTCTACACAGCAATAGGAAAAAAATATTTTTTTAAAGCATAGATTTTAAGTATGAGATTCAACTATCTAACTTTCAGAATATTTAAGACGATAGTTATTTTTTTAAGTATTCATTCTTAAAGATTTTTAAATAAAAGTGAACATCCCATTTCTTTGGATGATGGGAATTCATTCTTGGCCTGGAGGCTTGGAAAGTAACAGGATTCTCCTTATACACTCTTCTGGCCCAAGAAGTCTTTGGACCAGTCGCCAGATGCACTGACAACACACAAGAAACTGCAGAGAGAAAAACTGACCAAGTATAGGGCAGAGAGTTCCTGGGGACCAGCCACGGCTGAGCTCAGCAGGGGAGGCAGGCCAGCCAACGCCAACATCTGTGTCCCAGAGCCATACCTGGTCTTTCCACCTTTATCTTTGGTTGATAGAAGAAAAAAAAAAAAAACACCAAAAAACTAACATTCAGAAGAGGGAAAAGAATAAGAGGAGGTGAAAGAGGAGGTGAGGAAGTAAAATTCTGAGCTTTAAGAAATTCTTCCTTAGAGCTCAGAAAGCCAAGAGACGAGCTTGGGTTTTGAAAAGGAAGAAAGTGGAAGTGCAACGATGCATATCCTAGACGACTTGGTGGATAAACAAGAAGTACTCAAAGATAAAGCAAGGCAAAAAGCAGTCAGCCCTCCGAACTTCCCCATCTCTCACACTCTGGGGCATCGCAGCATGTGAGTCTGGGTCCCATCTCTCTGAAGTTGGCTGCTTCTTTGCCCATCTGGAACCTCCCACTGAAATCCCTTCAGAAATCCTCCCAGGAAGCAGCATCTGGCGGGGAGGAGACAACAAGGGAGGTGTTGGACAGGAGCTTCTCTCACTCAGGGCTGGCACACCCAGAGACCAAGGAGATTTGCAAGGCATTAGCAAGACACAAAGAAGGGCCCAGAATCTCCTTCCCTTCTCTCTTCAGCCTGGGACAGAGGGCTGAGCCCCAGAGGAGACCCCTTTCTGTTAGCAACACTCAAGACACAACAGGGTAGAAAAAATAGGAACAGGCTCCTCTGGCTAACTCAGTTTCCTAGGAAACAGGAGTTGCCCAGAAGACTCTGGACTCAGGTCAGAGCTCTTCTCAGGCACTTCCTGGAAAGAACCCACTCTGCTTAGAATCAGCTTCTGCCTTTAACACTTGTTTGGAAATGTTTTTAATTTCTTTTGCTTTGCTGTTAATGTATTAAGGGAGAATGTAGTGACTTATTGCGGCTAACAGTCAGAAAACCTGGGTTTACCTAGCTCCACCTCTTATAGTCCCTTCTTCTCAGGTTCTGACTTCCTTAATCATAAAATGGGACCATAAAGCCTGACCTCGATCTCCAGGTTGTTCTGAAGTTCAAAACTGATAACATATATTAGACTACTTTGAGATCTATAAGAAACTCTTTAGAAATGAAGGAGAAATATCACGTGCATGTGTACCTGCATTACGAAGCCCAGTTCTGCGGGCAGCACTGCTCTCCAACAGAGAAGCATTTCCACAGCATCAGTCATCCTTTGAGACTGCAGGGCCTGCCAGTGAGGCTGTGGACTCAAAGGTCTGAGAATCCTACTTTAACTCCACTGAGTTTGACAAACTTTCTAATGATATAAGTATTGAATTTCCTAAGGCTGCAGTTTTCTCATCCATTAAATGGAGCTAATAATAGCACTTAACTCATAAAGGTGTGATGGGCATTAGATAAATATATGTACAATAATTCACATTTCCTGAAACCACTGCAAGTACTCAATAACTGTTCATACGTGATGTGCCAAAAGCAGTGTTTCTTCAAAAAAGAAGAAAGTAGATTTGATGTCTAGAAAGAGACGACTAGCTTACAAAAGGGTAGCACAAGACACCAGTAACTTCAACCCAAAGTCCACAGGGCCAGACCAGGAAAGGCACTCCACATTCAATAAAAGAAGGCCAATTCAGAGCATATCTAGAAAACAGCAACAGCTCAGTAGAGTTAGAGTCTAGGCTGTGTCTTCATTCATCTAACAAATAGGTACAGAGCCTCCACCAAGTATAGGGGACTGTGCCAGGCTCCCGGGGAGGTTGAAGAGACAGGCAAGGCTCCACCTTGGGGGACAGGTGGAATGTGCAAGGGCACAGGATCTTTGAACCACAGGCGAGCCCCGTGAATTCAGGGGGGATTCTCCAAAATAAACTTTCACCTTCTCTAAACTTATCTAAACTTTTCTTATCTTCTTGCTTTTTTCCCCTTTAGGGAGGAGTGTAAACAAACCACACACACACAAAAAGATAGTTAATTAGTATCCCATTAGGAGTTTCAATTAACCAGGTTTTACTACAAGCAGCAAACACTGTCTAAGATGTAAGTTTTGGAGACATGGCTTTGGAAAAGATCCCCAGTGTTTTCCCTACTTGCTGCAAGTAATAATAATTTATTCTTCTCCAGCAAAAAAAAAAGTCCAAGTTTTGATTAATCAAACATAATGGAACTGTTCCTGTCTATTTAGATGAGAAATTATGGACAAGGCGAGGGGCACCAGACAACTGTAAATCCTTTCCCCACCAAGCGACACAAATATATCTTCCCATTGTTGAAAGGATAAGGAAACTGGGTGGCACATTCCCAGAAAAGGGGGAATAGCTGGGTTTTTTCAAAGAAGCAAGCCTGGACAAAGTTAAGGGTTTTTCCTAAAAAATGGCTAACATACTAGGTATTTTACATATATTATGTCACTTACATCTTCCAAAATCCCAGATGAAGCGAATATCAATATCTCCACTTTACAGATGAAGAAATGGAGACCCAGAAAGCCTAAGTCATGATCTTAGTATCACATGGCAGTAAGTGGTAGAGCCTGGTTTTGAAACCAATGCTATCTATATATAATAACAAATGTTCTGATAAGAATCTTAGTTTCCAAAATAATAAAAGCCTGTCCTCAGCAGGCCATTTTGGTAAAATCGATATAGACATCAGAACATCCTAAGAATCCCTTAGGGACACTGCAGAGAGAGAAAGAAAATATGAATTTAAATATATTTTCTTTTAAAAAAATAATCTTAGGATGATAGTATTTCAAACATTTTGGCATCAGACCTGGGTTCAAATTTCAGACCCCTGGATAGAAATCTTTCCCTAACCCACCTATCAGGCTAGATGACGTGATATTCTTCTGTGTTCCCAAAGTCACACAAAATAAGAAATTAAAATCACAATGCTCATCAACCCATCTTATCACCTGAGGTCTTTCTCTCATACTGGGACTATGATCCACATGAGGGGAGGCTCTGTCTCATTTGAGTCTGTTTTGCTTAAATGTGA